TAAATCCATTAGTTTAAATTGTTGTTTAAAATAAGGCCTGGGAATAGCTGAACTTGAAATTTTTTCTATCGCTCTACTTCATCTTTATATTTGAAGACGAATAGTAATGTTTGTGACACGCACCGGTAAGCTCCAAATGGCATATATATACGTCCGTGCTCCGTGACATTGAAAGTATTAACTCAACCAAAGCATTACACAGAACAATGTGACGCTACATACCGTGAACGTCATTATGTCAAAGTTGAAATAATTTTTTCAACAAAAAAACAAACATTGTTATCCCATGATACAAAAGTCAAAATAAATAAATTAACTCAAGCGTTGCTTATTAGATACGTTTACCCTTAATATATCATTTTTGAATTGAAAAAACAAGGGAGCAATGCTCAAACATAGGCAAACGAAGACAGAGCGTCGGTTCTGACATGGAAAGGCTCGAATAAACGAAGTTTGCAACATTGGCGCGCCAGCTGTAAGAAGGAGTCGAGTGATCAATATGAAAGGGGTTCAAAATAATTTCGTTACAAATAAAAAAATATTCAGACATCGTGACAAAAATACATACCATCAGTACAAGGAGATCTTCCTATGCGTTTATTCTCATAGAATTCAGTTTCTAACCCGGAATAACATCACAGAGATCACACGATCGCTGAGATCATAAATTATAATAGCACCCTGGTAACTCAAGAAAAGTATTTTGATAATAATATGAATTTACCTTCATCGTCACAAGTCTTTGTATCCCTATCGCAGTATTGGTCATAATCACATATTCATCGTCGTCATCACAGTCGACTAAAAAATTGAAATACATTAATTATACGGTAGTGTTACCATATTTTTGTGACCTCAAAATGGGACGCCCTCGAAGTACATAGCTCTGATTTTATCAAAAAAAAAAACGAGACGTATGGTAAGCCTAATTATACCGTATTTTACTGACCATAAGGACGTATTATAAGGGCGTACTGCTGATAATTTTCTTAGATTGAGTTTTTATTCAAACATATGGCGCAATAGCCCTATAAGACACATTGGGTTTCAAAGCAATAGCGGCACTGGTTCTGGGTGTAAGCAATATAGCACTACCCGAAACATACATTAGGCGCACTAGCTTATATGGCGCGCGATCGCTTTTTGAGAAAAAAATAGATTGAAAGTTTTCCCAATGGTCCCCAAATAATAGTACTGTAACTAAATCAATCACAACAATCTGGAAACAAAATTATCGGCTATGCATAAAAATTTATGATCGATACATTTAGTTAATATCATGCCAAATATTGGAATCAGCCCATCCCTTAAAAAGTAATGAGTCCAACTTGTATGCTTAACGTGATATTGATATCAATTCCATACAATTGGTGTCACTTTGGTATGCGTTTATTCTTATAGAATTCACTTCATCCTAACCCGAACAAAAATTACAGTGAATACACAACCGCTTAGATCACATTGCCTGGGGACCAATGGTTCCCGTAGAAATGAGATATTGCTGCAAAATATTATAAATTTACCTAAATCTCGGCATTCCCGCCAATAGCTGCTACAATATTGATCGAAATCACAATCGTCGTCTTTGGCACATACTGCACAAAGAACAAATTAGAAGTACAATATAACTGAGTCAATTACAATAATCTGGTAAGACAAATATAAATCGAGCATGCAGGAAAAATGATGATCGATACATTTAGTTATATCTGACTGATACTATGATAAATATGGGAATCAGTCTATCCCTTTAAAAAGTATTGGGTCCAACTTTGGTTGCTTAACGTGATACTAATCTCAATACCATACAATTGGTGTCATTTTGGTAAGCGTTTATTCTCATAGAATTCAGTTTCTAACCCGGAATAACATAACAGAGATCACACAATCGCTGAGGAAATAAACCATAATAGCATAATGCTAACAAACACGCAGATACATAACATCCCCGTAGTGAATTTAGGAATAGTTGCGGGAAACGTTCTGCGAGTTTACTTTTCCAAAATAATTTTTCTTTCTAGCTCAGTGACTCTCAAACGGTGGAACGCCCCGACAAAGGTGGCGTAAAAAAAATTTGAGGGGCGTGACACTAATAAAATTAATAATATTTGCTGGGTTTGATCTTGCTCGCCTGACTTCGAATATTTACATTTCTTTATTGTTTAAAGATTGTACTTGTTGTTATTTTAATTATATGCTTGTTATATTACATTCGCTTTACTATCTGTTATTTGCAGCTTATTGTTAGCTAGGTATTTTTAAGGTGGAGCACAAGACTTAACAGTTTCTAAAAAGCAGACTCGGCTTGGAATTTTTGAAAATCACTGCTCTAGCTAGTCGTCCCTATTTCCAAAATTAGTCGAGGCTTTGCGAAAATATGTCACAAATTATGATTATTTTGGGAAATAAAATGGTTGTTAAGTACTGCTTGAAACGTTCTGCGAATTTCTATTTCCGCAACTATTGTTCTCGCTAGCTAGACTCGCGCTAAAATTTTGCAAGAGCAGCTTTAAATCATGATTATTTCGAATAATGAAAAAGGAGATTCGCTTCATTCGACCCAACCTAATGGACCCACATTAATTCTGCTTTATTTTCAATGATTACCCAATGCCCACGCTTAATAATAGATAACATTTGCTCATATTGAGTTTTTTTTTAATCAATCATTTCTTCATTACTGCTAAAGAGCGTAAGTAATTGAACGTTTAAAAAAGAAAAAAAGGAACTTCAACACTGTTAATAATCGATTCACAGCGGGTATTAGTTTGGTTTACAACGGAGATTTCATCTAGTCCTGCTTTATTATAGGCTGACGGAATCGCAGGCGTTTATTAATGCAAGGATGTTGTAGCAAGGTCTTAATTAACCGTTAGGCAAAATAAGTACTCGCTTACTACGGGGGTGTGCAACATTAAATACACGAGGGCCAGATATAAATTATTGGACGAAACCGCGGGCCGCAGATTCACTTAACATAGACTTTCTAGTAGTTGCAGACACGAAAATTTTGGTTATTGATCCTGTGACATGCGTTGTTCGCTTTGCACAAGCTCATAGAGAGACCTTGTAATGCAAAGGAAAAGGAAATACTTGCACATACTTTAAATAAAAACGCGAGCCGCACACTATTCAAAAGTGGCGATTTTCCGCAGAAGTTTTCCTTGTTGGCCGAATTTGGCCCGCATGCCGTAAGTTGCACACCCCTTGCTTAGGTCACCAAAGAAAGGGGACATCACTGTAAATTGGCGCTCCAGAAGTATGTGTACCAATATGGAGGTATCTGATTTTGTTCGCCTATTTTACATCAAGTTGTGTAAAGGGATTGAAACCTATGGGCAGGAGGGCTATTTGCTTGGCTAACACAGACAGTCCCCGAACTTGTAATCGAACTAAAATAAGGAAAATCGGAATAAAATGATGGCCTAACCCTAACCTTGTACACATATATGTATATATCATGTAAAAAAATATCATGTAAAAAAAAAAATAAATTAATCAGTAATGAACACGGAAACTTACTTTTTCAATATTAAATAACACAGAACACTAGTTACATTCCTATTATTGGTATGTTGTATATTTAGGGCACTAGTCCTAGAGTCCTAGATCCGGGCTTGGTTGTATAAACAATATGTCACCAGCTAATCAGTGGGCAGTCTATCAAGACCATTCAGGTAAAGATGACTATACCAATCAATAGCGTTTTGCTGTGCATTAGTTACAATGCAGAGTACAGCCGACTGCTTTAAACATTCCGCAAATTTTAACCTCTAAAACAGCTGTTCTCGCTAGCTAGTCGTTTCCAAATTTCTAAGGTCGAGGCATTCCAAAAACAGCTTACAAATTATGAATGTTTTATAAAATAAAAATAAAAGTGTAAAGAACTGCTTGAAACATTCTGCGAATTTTCACCTCTAAAACATCAATGTTGCTCTTTTTCAATGATTATCCAATGCCCAACAATTTGCTCATATTGAGGTTTTCCAATGCCCAAACATTTGCTCTTACTGAGGTTTTCAGTTTGAAATCCTTTCTTTCTATTATGTAACTTTGTTTCTCTCGTTTTAAATTAACTGCAACAATACATTTGATAAAAAAAGAAACATTTTGAAATCCTCTCTTTCTTTTATGTAAATTTGTTTCTCTCGTTTTAAACAAACTGCAACAATACATTTGATAAAAAAGAAACAAGCGAAGAACGAATATATATTATATTCTCAATACTTCAAGCAAGGAATATCAGTTTGCTTGAAGGCAAGAGCTTGTTGAGCTTCCAGGATCAAAATTAGTTCTTTTCAAACCGTTCGTTATATATCGGTGAAAATAAAAAAAATCATTTCTATGTCCAAGTATGTGCACCAAGATGTCGCACAACCTCAACATAGTATGTGTATACGGTTAGGGGTCATCGTTGTGCGCCATCTTGATGCACATACTTCGAGTGCGATAAAATTCGTTAAAATCGGGGGAATTAGGATATCAGAATCCGATTTCATTTTAAGAAATTCGGTTACAAATAATTTCAACGCAAATATTGGCCAAACACGTGCATTTTCTTAAAATAAATATAATTTTAGGCTCCAACATCAGCAATTTAGCAATTTTGGATTTCTCAATAATGTAACTTACAGGCGATATGATGTTGCGTTTATGGAAAATGAGATTTTTTCGGCGCACCCGTATGTACGTGTACCAAGATGACGCACAACCTGAACCTAGCCTTGTACTATGTTCAGGTTGTGCGGCATCTTGATACACATACTTCGAGAGCGCCATTTTTTGATAGTAAAAACCCAATATAAGTTTTCATTCAGGCCATTTTTTGAAATCAGTGATCTGTTGCTAGTTCTTGAGAATCTGTTGGTAACGAAGTAGATCCGTTCATAAAATTTTGATGCCACCGCATGTTGGAACGATAACTCTTTAATTGCGACCCTTTTCATTATTCTCTTCTAATTTATATTAATTAAGCACTAACTTAGTATTTTTTTAGGTCTGGAAAAACTATCTAAACGAATTGAAGTTCGAAGTCACGATGCACAAATTCCTTTTATCTCTCTTGCTGTCGGCTGCTGTAATGTCCATGTTACTGGATCAAGCATGCAGAATGCATTATGGTTAGTCAAAAATTTTATTTTTACGGCTTTCTGCATAAGATCCAACAATAGTTTCTAAGTTCTACAATAACCATCGCATAAAATCTCAAAAACATGAAGATTACTTCTATGCTAAAGACGGATGTTTTGTCATGTGCTTTGATTCATACATGCTAAACTCGGAATCGGCCGATAGATATATCTTCAATCTAAGTCTAACAAATTCGCATATGTAGGAAAAATAGAAGTTACTTCCTTCCAATATATAAACTAGAATATCGGTTAGAAACCGAAGACTTATCGATCGAAAGTTAGGGGATCCCCCAAAACAGAAACTGCGGTTTCGATTCGAAAAATTCTGCAAACCCGAGCCGGATTGTTTTGAATAGTTTTTAGCCAATATCAAAAATGTGGGAAACAATTGCCAACTCCCCATGTCGTCGTTAAAATACTACTCGAGGAAATACTTTTATGAAGAATTCTGCAAATCCGAACTGGATTGTTTCGATTAGTTTCCAGCCAATAGCCAATATTTACCAATCCTATATTTTGTGTCAAATACAACGGCGCTAACCCGGGTTGCGACGGCTATTCAAACACAGCCTAGCGATATTTTGGTGAGGAATTCTGCAACCCCGAACCTGATAGAGGGATATGGACATTGCTTAGACTTTAAAGAGTAATTATAAGTAACGAGATACGATCTCGCGGCGTGTATCCTCCGCTCTGACTCAATAGCGTGGAAAATTTCTCGAAGGAAACGTGCGCATCGCGACGACGTCAAAGTTACAAGAGAGATATGGACAATGCTTAAAGATTAATCACGAGATACGATCTGGCGGTGTGTATCCTTCGCTCTGACTCACTAGCGTGAAAACTTGCGCATCGGACACGCACACACACATTCAGCGCGTCTCGAAAATCTCTCGCTTTGTAAATATCCAGATCTCTTCATCACTGATTAATTAATAACTCGCTAATTATACGAAACATTTCATCCAAAATCAATAGGCTTCTGATCCGAGCTATGATGAACGCACATGCAAAATTTGGAGCAGATTCAACCTCGCTTCCGCGAGATATCGCGTGCATCTAACACACAGACATACACACATACAAATACCTATCAACATACTTACCGATCGTAAGATCGATAAGTAATAAATATTCAGCCTATTACCAATCAGATATGACTAAACGTGTCGATCACCAATTTTTCTGCATAGAAGATATTCATCATACCAGATTGTTGTAAACGATTTGGTTACAGTACTGTATTTTAGGGACCATAAGGAGAACTTAAAATGGTATTCCCAAAGATTGTTTACTAAGATGCGCCCTATAGTAAGGTTATTTCGTCCACAAAAATACAGTCTACGGTAATTCTAATATTTCTTTAGATCTTTGTGATAACGACGATGAATGTGATTCTGAACATTACTGCAACTGGGAGACAGGGTTTTGTGATTGGAAATGTAATGTCATACTATTATAAAAATGCTTTTTTTCTTTAATCATGATGCGATCAATTATTGTTTATTTCCTTAGCAATTGTGTAAACTCTGTTATGTTATTCCGGGTTAGAAACTGAATTCTATGAGAATAAACGCTTACCAAAATGACACCAATTGTATGGTATTGAGGTTAGTATCACGTTAAGCAACCAAAGTTGGACCCATTACTTTTTAAAGGAATAACCTGATTCCCATATTTATCATAGTATCAGTCAGATATATAACTAAATGTATCGATCATCATTTTTCTGCATGCTCGATTTATGTTTAACTTACCAGGTTGTTGTAATTGACTCGGTTACATTGTACTTCTAATTTGTTCTTGGTGCAGTATGTGCCAAAGACGACGATTGTGATTTCGATCAATATTGCAGCAGCGATTAGCGGGAATGCCGAGATTTAGGTAAATTTCTAATATTTTGCAGCAATATCTCATTTCTACAGGAACCATTGGTCCCCAGGCAATGTGATCTAAGCGGTTGTGTATTCACTGTGATTTTTGTTCGGGTTAGGAAGTGAATTCTATGAGAATAAACGCATACCAAAGTGACACCAATTGTATGGAATTAATATCAATATCACGTTAAGCATTCAAAGTTGGACTCATTACTTTTTAAGAGATGGGCTGATTCCAATATTTGGCATGATATTAACCAAATGTATCGATCATAAATTTTTATGCATAGCCGATAATTTTGTTTCCAGATTGTTGTGAATGATTTAGTTACAGTACTGTTATTTGGGGACCATTGGGAGAACTTTCAATCTATTTTTTTTCTCAAAAAGCGATCGCGCGCCATATAAGCCAGTGCGCCTAATGTATGTTTCGATTAGTGCTTTATTGCCTACACCCAGAACCAGTGCCGTTGTTGCTTTGAAACCCTATGTGTCTTATAGGGCTATTGCGCCATATGTTTGAATAAAAACTCAATCTAAGAAAATTATCGGCAGTGCGAGCTATAATACGTCCTTATGGTCAGTAAAATACGGTATCATTAGGCTTACCATACGTCCCGTTTTTTTTTTCGATAAAATCACAGCTATGTACTTCGAGGGCGTCCCGTTTTGAGGTCACAAAAATATGGTAACACCGCCGTATAAAGAATGTATTTCAATTTTTTTAGTTGCCTGTGATGACGACGATGAATGTGATTATGACCAATAATACTGCGATAGGGATACAAAGACTTGGGACGATGAAGGTAAATTCAAACTATTATCGAAATACTTTTCTACAGTTATCATGGTGCTATTTTGGTTTATGTTCTCAGCGATTGTGTGATCTCTGTGATGTTATTCCGGGTTAGAAACTGAATTCTATGAGAATAAACGCATATCAAAGTGACACCAATTGTTTAATATTGTTCAGTACCACATTAAACAACCAAAGTTGGCCCATTAATTTTTAAACGGATAGAATGATTCCAATATTTATCATAATATCAGTCAGATATAACTAAATGTATCGATCATCAATTTTCCTGCATGCTCGATATTTGTCTTACCAGATTGTAGTAAAAGACATAGTCAATGTTTATTTCTAATTTGTCTTTTGTGTAGGTTGTAATGGAGACAATGATCAAAATTTTGGTAAATATTGCGACGAATCTTTGTGGGTTTCGCGCTCGTAATCCCTGCTTTTTGCGAATATTTGCGTATGGGCGTATGGAAAATATAGATTGGCATGTCTTTCGCGTGTCTGTTATTCGACCTGCCAGATTGTTTTCAATGATTAAGTTTCATTGTATTTCTAATTTGTTCCTCGTGTAGATTGTGACGGAGACGACGAATGTAAACCTGATCAATATTGTGACAACCGTATGTGGGTATGCCTTTCTAGGTAATTTTTTAATATTTTGCAGCATTGTCTCATTTCTACAGATACCATTGGCCACCCGCCAATCCTGACTAACTCACTTTGTTCCGTGTGGCCAGTGCCGTAGCCAGAGGGGTGGTTTTGGGGGTCGAAATCCTCCACTTTTAAAAAGGAAAAAATAAAAGCATCTTTCTGTATCCTACATAGCAATTTTTCGTAGCTTGAAACGCTTTCAAGACCCTCAAGACTAATGGAAACACAGGTATTCTGGCGTTCGGCCGGTCCCTCTAGCTGTTTCGACCTACGTTGGTAAATATTGATCAACGCCCCCCCCCCCTCTTTGAAAATTTTTGGCTAGCCCCAAGCGTGTGACAGTAAAATCTCTAGCCGGGAAATAAATTGTAATATGTCTTACAAACAAATCAATTCGTCCTAAAGTAGGAAGTTACTAAACATCATACTCTCATCTTAATTATAAAGATCGGCTAATATCATATTCAGCATAAAACCTATCAGTGTAATTCTGAGCAATTGTGCAATCGATCTAATGGAATTTGTTATAATAACGGTAAATTTATAATATTATGCAACAAGACTTTCAATTTCTACAATGCCATCGGCCATACACTGGTCCAAACTGAATTTAGAATCAATCCCAAGTACATGGTAATCACCTTTTAGCATCAGAATTGGTTCATAAATCAACTCTGAACATGCCTATTGTGGTGCTCCCGAAATATGTGTACCAAGAGGTCGCACAAATTGAACATAGTATGTGTACCAGGTTAGGGTTTAGGTCGTGCGTCAACTTGGTACACATACTTCCACAGCGCCAAAAATTTTATGCGTTTTAAAAAGTATTTTAAAACTCTATTACTCTATTTTACCGATAGATCAGTTTTTCTATAAAAAAGATTTTGATTTGTTTTAAATTGTTTACCACTTTTCTAATTTGTCGTATGAATTCGCACAGGTTAATGACTTTGATGGTCACGAGTCATTCAAGAGTCAAGTTTTTGCAAAGAGAAGGATCATCGCAAACAGAGAAAATAAATTTGACTTTGCTGAATATGGAATAATAAAATATTCTACAATAATATTTGATCGTTTTGTTAACTTTGCATTTGGGTCATAACAGAGTATTTAAACGAACATAAAAAAACAGCATTGTAATATATATACATCCATGTTTATGTGCGTATAACGTTTAAACTTCTTACTGCATGCCAAGAACGTTACTTCCTCCGTATAACCAAACCTGGTTACCTGGTTAGGGTTAATCAGTAATCAGTAGTTTATTTTCTCACCATACTGAAAACACAGTTGATATTCAAATTGCAATGAATGAATAGCACTTCAAGGTGAGGGGAGCCGCGAGAAACAAGGCACAAATACTACGGAAGTCTCTTCGCTAGTCCCCGAACTTGTGATAGGACTGAAATAAGAAAATTTAGAATATTATTATGGCCTAATCATAACCTGCTACACATACTACGTTCCGGTGCCCGCCATCTTGATACATATACTTCTGGAGCGCCCAAAAGAGATTTATGGAGAATATTTTATAATTAAAATTTTGACCCGGAGTTTTCCCTAGATTTTGCTCGATGCTCGTTCTGTTTTTGTCGTTTTGCGTGTTATTTGTCAGTTTTCATTTGTGTTTCCAAAATTAGTTGCAAATAATTAAATACTTCGATTTTCTTTGTGTCTTTTGAGGAGCTTTAGTTTAGTTGCAATACTCTTCCCGCAAATGCTGTGATATATAGACTAGGTTAAATTAGCTATCGGAACGTGTAAGCGCATGTGATTGAAAAAAGTTTTGAACAGGTAAACGAGTTTGTAAGAACTAACTCTTCGAAATAATCTCAAAACGAGCGTTGAAAGTAATAGGCAAGTATAGGGAGAATGTTTCTGGAGTCAAGAGTCGGGGTAACATCCATCCCTTGTTTTAAAATTGGTGCTCCCGAAACATGTGAACCAAGATAGCGAACACCGGAACGTTGTATGTGTACCTGGTTAGGGTTAGGCTATAATTTCAGGAACAAATACTACGGGAGTCACTTGACTAGTCCCCGAACTTGTAACAGAATTAAAATAGGAAAAATTGGAATAAAATTACGGCCTAACCGTAACCTGGTACACATACTACGTTCAGGTGTTCGCCACCTTGGTTCACATACTTCGGAAGTACCCGAAAATTATGATAGACGAAGCTCATTGGGATTCGCATACTCGGATAGCGGATATTCGGATAACCGAGAGATTTGTTTTACAAATACAAGGGTATGAAGATGATATTGTGATGGTTAGTTAACCGGATACTGAAGTATTATAAATAATGCATTTGCTCATGATTTTGTTATATTTTGTCAAATGGTGGCATCCTTCACAGCTTATGATACTAGTTTTTATTTACTTTTCTTTGTCTATATTTTGGCGGTTTTGATGATGATTGTATTTCGTGTCGCTATTTTTGCCTTTGGGATTCGGGTATGTTGTCGGGAAAATGATGGCGTGTTTTGGTTCGCGACTATAAACAATCGACAATCAGTACATCACAATCGAAGCCGGCTGTGTATCTTCGGGCCTTGCCGAGGGTGGATTGCCTCGGTACTGTTTGTTTATCGGTGAATACATTCAAACGTTCATATTACTTTAGTATATTGTGAATAAAAAACACAGACATCTTCAATCATTGCACTAATCGACATGAAGTACAGCAGGAAACAGAGAGTGAGAGCTTAACTGTGTCATTAAGCGACATAAATAAAGCAACAGTACATTTCATATTTCAGGACTACAGGTACTATCCTACATTTGGATTTTGTTTATGGTCCAGCGCGGCTGCTGTATTTTTGCTTCTTATCTACTGCATTTTGTTTCGTTGCTTAATTGCTATCTGCTCAGAATAGAAACTCGTATACAGCTGAACTACATTTATTGAGAACAGCGGCACAACTTAAATAATACAACCTAAACAGCGATCATAAACAACGTCTACAAGTTAACACAACTATATATCGACTGGTGAGCCAGACGAATAGATGAGATGCATTGCACCGCAACAATTAAGAGTTGTCGCGCTACTCATCATTTGAGTAATCACATTACGTCACATCTTCTCGTCAAACAAGTAATAGCATATTAATACAAATAGCATTAATAAATGTACAATAAAATAAAACATCATTAATCAATACCCATATCTATCAGGTATTTTAACAGTGCGTGTAGATCTGCGAAGAGGGGGGCTTGATCTACTTTCTTTTTGATCAGATATACTAGGATTAACTAAAACACTGCTATCGGGAATATTATCATTAATAATTGGGTCATGTGTTTTTATACCACCATTGTTATAGGAAGATGTGTATGGATCAGAAATACTACAATCGTAATCATAATTCTTTGTAAAGGGTTGGAACTCATCAGGTTCTCTTGTATGCCTCAAATGCCTTCGATTTCTTCGATAAAGACCACCATCTTCAGTTCGGATCATATACGATCTGATGTCAACTTGTCGTTCAATTCTACCTTTGCGCCATCTTTTCCCACGGTCCGGCTTCATTCTGACCAACTGACCCGGGTACAATTTCATCAGCTCTCTCGTTCCCCTGTTGTAATATTTAGCTTGGATTTCTTTACGCTTCTTTAAATGTGGTTCGATATTCGTAACAATTTTCGGGCGGAGAAGAGATTTTGATGTTGGAAGCAGAGTTCTTGTGCGTCTTCCAAATAACCTTTGTGCTGGTGATCCTGGGATTCCTTCACTCGGAGTGTTACGCCAATCGAGCAATGCAAGAAATACATCACTCTTACTCTCAATAGCTTTTATCATTATGCTCTTCATTTGTTTAACGGCGGACTCTGCTTTACCATTGCTTTGGCTATATGTAGGAGAGCTTGTAACATGCTGAAATTCATAATCTTCAGCAAATTTTCTAAATTCTTCGCTACTATATTGAGGAGCGTTGTCAGAAATCAGTTTTTCTGGTAAGCCGTGTCTAGCCATGTGTTGTTTTAATGCTTTGATAACTTCTGCAGATGTGGTCGTATGAAGTCTGTCAACTTCGCAAAAATTGGAGTAAAAATCTACTGTTACCAGATAGTTTCTGCCCTGCAATTCAAATAAATCGGACGCAATAATTTGCCATGGTCGAGAAGGAATCTCATGGTGAATTATCGGCTCTTTTTGTTGATTAGGTTGAAACACTCGACAAGTAGTGCATGACGAGACATAATCATGTATGTCACTGGCCATTTTTGGCCAGAACAGAACCTCTCTTGCTCTACGAATGCAAGCCTGTATCCCAATGTGACTTGCGTGTATGCGCTGCAGAACATATTGTTTGGCAGATTCTGGTACCACAATACGACATCCTTTCAAAATAAGCCCATTTTGAACAGTGAGGTCTTCTCTAAAATTGAAATATTCTTGCATGGACCGTGGAAGCTGTTTCTTGGTAATCGGCCATCCATCTTCAATGATGGCTCTAAGAGTTTGCATTGTCGAATCTTTCTCTGTAGATTTTTGTAAAACATGCATTGTTTTGTCCAACACTGGAATATCTTTTAACATATCAATTTCTTCAATTTCATTAGCCAGTGACAGATGAAATATAACACCTTTACCAATCGTGTCAGTACTTTTATCAATATATGCTCGGCTCAGGGTATCGGCAATGAACATATTTGCACCTTTTTTATAATTAACCACAAAGTCATATTTCTGTAATTGAAGAAGCATTCTTTGTAGTCGTTTTGGTGCATCTACTAATGGCTTTTTAGTAATAGTTTCGAGTGGTTTGTGATCAGAGTCAACTCGTACAGTCCTTCCATACACATAGTGTTCAAATTTTTCCATGCCAAACAAAATCGCCAAAAGTTCTTTTTCTATTTGGGCATAATTGCACTCAGTAGATGTCAGAGCACGTGAAGCATAAGCAACAGGGTGGTCATTTTGCATCAAGCAAGCTCCCAAGCCCTTTGAAGAAGCATCACATTGTAGGACAATAGGGGCTTTCTCATCATAATATTGCAAAATAGGAGATTTCATCAGAGTCTCTTTCATTGTATTGAAACATGTACCGTGTACTTTTTTGTCCCATACGAACTCATTATCTTTTCTAAGAAGTTCTCTGATTGGTGCACTAATTTGAGATAATTTCGGAGCAAATCGCTGTAGAAAATTTGTAGTAGCCAAAATTCTTTGCACCCCTTGTTTATCAGTCGGATGAGGCATATCTCTGATACCTTCCAATTTTGCCAAATCTGGTTTTAAACCGTCTTTGCTGATAACGTGACCCAAGTAAGCAACTTCTGTTTTCATATATTGTAATTTATCTTTATTCAATTTAATACCCTTCTCTCTACATCTTTGTAGAAGATCATAAAATTTTTTCTTGTTATCGAGCGTTGCCTCTTCTATGGTATCACCCACACCATATATCAAGATATCATCGGTAACTGGCATAACTCCACTTAAACCATTAAGAGCAAAGTTCAGACGGCGCACAAACTCTTCAGGGGACGGTTTAAGTCCGAATGCCATTCTTCGCCACCTATAGCGACCCCATGGAGTACCAAATGTTGTCAGATAACTACTTTTAACATCGAGTTCAATATGCCAAAAACCATTTTTAACATCGGCAATGGTGAATACTTTTGCCTTGTGCAAGTGAGGCAATACATCGTCAATAGTAGGCATTGGATGATTGTTTCGTTTAAGAGCCTTATTCAAAGGCTTTGGGTCAAGGCATAAACGAATACTTCCCGATTTCTTTGATACTACAATCAAATTTGAAATCCATGGCGTATGACAATCTACAGGGGCTATAATACCCTCATTCACCAATCTGTCCAGTTCATTCTTAACCTTGCTTTGAAGTGATAATATTACTTTTCGCACTGGCATTTGAAATGGAGTAACCGTATTATCAACTTCCAGTTTCAATTTTCCTTCAAGTTTGCCCGTGCCAGTAAATATATCAGCAAACTCGGCAAAAATTTGGCTGAGCGACATCTTGGAAAATTTTTCAAAATTACATGATTTGGAAATGGTACAAAAGATATTTTCATAATTGACAGTAACTAAATTCAGTTCTTGAATCGCCCCAAATCCCAATAATGGTACTAAAGGTTGTTTTATAACCATAAAATCTAGAAAATAAGATATACCATTTTTCGGGTTATAAACCGGTAAAGAAATCTTCCCCAACGGCAAGATTAACGTCTTGTTATACATTGATAATTTAGCGGATGTAGGTACTAGTTTAATTAATTTATAGTCGTTGCTGGCTTTAATATAGTGGCTTTTCGAAATAACATTAACAGTTGCCCCACAATCAATTTGAAAATTGATCCTAAAATTATTCAACAATAATTGAGTAAACAACTTCTTATGAGATAAATTGGTACTGCTATTGGTATAGATTTTTTCACACATAACAATGTCATTTTTATGATAAGTATCAACACATTCAGCATTTGGGCCATCGTTCCCATGGTTATATTTAGTTCTCAGTCGACATTTCACTGCAAAGTGATTTTTCATATTGCATCTGTTGCAAACTTTACCCCACGCTGGACAATAATTTCTACCAAAAATGTGCTTTCTACCACAAAATTTACACTCACGAATATTGAGTTTGCTCTCATTAGCACTTTCAGTCACAGGCTTCAGTTGGGTCTTCTTTGTTTGATTGCTTTCAGTTGCGTTGACAGTCTCCATCGATGACTTCATTGTTTCCAGGCGAATCATTGTCGACTCATGAGCTCGACAGCGATCAATACACTTTGCCAGAGTTAAATCTCGTTCTTGTAACAATCTTCGTCTAAGGTCATTATCGGGTACTCCATCAATTATTCGGTCTCGTATCAGACTATCTTCCAACGCTCCGAAATTACAGGTTTTTGCCAAAGATCTCAGACTTGACAAAAATGTGTCAAAATGTTCACCAGGCAATTGCCCTCTATGATTAAACACATATCTTTCATAGCTTTCATTTATTTCGCCAATACAGAATAGTTCAAGCTTTTCTAGAACCTTTTGTTGATATCTTTCTTGTCTTCCTCAGAATCAAATTTAAATCCATCATATATTTCAACCGCATCAGCGCCAATTATAGTCAGCAGAGTTGCAGTACGCAGAATATTGGATTCTTTGTCTAACTTGCAGGCAATTTCATAGTAGTCCCATGCCCTTTTAAATATCTTCCAATTTTGAGATAAACTGCCACTTTTAACATTCAATGGCGCTGGAGTAGGAAGATTCATTTTCTATCTGAAGTCTGCAGATGAGCAATTTCAGGCGTAATTCGTATTCTCGCTATTCCACAAGGAATAGAACCACTTCTGACACCATGTTTCGTTGCTTAATTGCTATCTGCTCAGAATAGAAACTCGTATACAGCTGAACTACATTTATTGAGAACAGCGGCACAACTTAAATAATACAAGTTAACACAACTATATGTCGACTGGTGAGCCAGACGAATAGATGAGATGCATTGCACCGCAACAATTAAGAGTTGTCGCGCTACTCATCATTTGAGTAATCACATTACGTCACACATTTTGCTTTCATGAACATATAATTTAGGCCGACACTGTGGGAAGTGCAAGTCATGGATTATTCATTTTGTTGCTTTTCCTCTTGATGTAACTTTTAGTTTATGTAGTGTATTGAGGGAACGCATTTTATGATGAATCAAATGAGAATTTTGAAGATTTATTTTATTAGCGTAAAAAATATTTTAAGTGACTAAATTTTGAAGTCTACAATAAGTTGAAATGGATCCATTATTGAACTACTATTTAGAACTTGCGAAACGTCTGAACAAAACTTATATTTATGCATTATACTTCATACGAAACCCTATTTTTTGTCAAAATACATGGTTTTCGATAAATTCCCCACAAAAACATCTTGAAATCGATTCTCTAACAATTAGCGATGAATATCCGGTTAACCGAATACTCAAAATACCAAGTACAGTGATGCCTCGGTATTTGACCATAATTCGTTGCGGATTGGTGTTTGACTACCGATTTGTTCAAGTACCGGAACTGTTTTCTACAAGTTGAGAAACAATGGTAATTATTTTTGCACTCCATAATCCTTCGACATAATAAAACGTGCAATAAAAAACAGAAAGTATTTACAGTGAATGTACACGTAAGAAACAAAGTAAAAATGATGTATCAGTCACTGTACGTTTTAGTAACGGTTCGATGGCATACAGCAGCCACCTCCCCCCCCCCCCACCCCCCTTACCAAGGGTTCACAGCGCGATTAAAGAGGGTCTACATATAAAGTCCCAATCACTGAATGTGTAGGCCTACATTTCATTAAAAGTTGTTGTTCTTTCTCATATTTGGTTGGATAAACTGAAATAAACCAAAGAGCACATATTAGATTAGTCTATCCAATTAAAGAGTCCAGCTGCACACTGACACAAATGTATTCCTGTAACGACTAAAGTCAGACTTCCTCAGCCAAGAAGTTTACAACAATCGAACAAAACGTCACAAAATTACATTTCTGTTAGTGTGTAGCTGGACTTTTTAATTGGATTGAATAGTAATGTTTTTTCAAGCAGCCTTGCAGTATACGCATACCGAATCACTGGCATAAACGCATAAAGGAAAGATAGGGAGTTAGTCTCGTGCAAACCAATTCAAAGTTATTAGATTAGTGCTTGGATTAGTAAGCAGCATGCATTTGAACACGAAAATGCAGAAATGAGGCTTTATATAAGAAACTTGACCCCACGGATCCAGAAGCTTGTGAACAATAAGAAACCACAAAGTTCTCACTGAATTTTCTGTTAGTATTTTCACCAATAAATAAAAATTTGAAATTTTTACAAAAAAAAAAAACATTTGTTTTGGGTACCGGTACTAGGAAACCAGCGGGCAGCGCGATGACAAAACCACCTTAAATTAGTGCGAATTTTAGAATTCTGAATTAATTTACGACGAGGAAATAAAATTTACATCAGAAGCCGCATTTACCTAAGATTCAAGTTCGTGCTTCTTTATCGTTTCAAAACTCAGTCGAACCCATAGGGTTAGTCGAATCTTACAAATCTTAACTCGCAAGTCGTGATTCAAATTGAAAATTTATTAACGGCCCTATAACGTAGTTTTGATAAGACAATACTATTACTTGCAATGACTGAAATAAAATATTATAAATTTCGTTGACGTCATATTATCCAGAGCGAATAAATTGAACAGAAACTGACGTTGTATACTTCCCGTGTATTGTTTGCATTCTAACCTATAGAATCAAAATTTCCTCTAACAAATAACAAACAATTTCACCTGCTAAGGCATGCAGTGATGAATATGTACGCATTTCCGTTATCTATGCATCTTAAGCATTAGAAATGGAGGCAGGAATTTCGCAACAGGGAAGGAATTCTTCCTCAGTGAGGTATTTTGTGTCACTTTAGGGATGAAATATTGCTTGGTATTTTTTATAGTTCAAATAATATTGTTCAGTCATTCAGTATTAGTGCAATACATGTAATACATTTTCATGAAGAGAATATAACATACAATATTCAACTTGTTCCAAATTGAGAATGCCTTTTCCAGACAACACTTGCTAAGGATCCATTAAGTACTTTTTATACATAGTTAGGAAGGAACAAAGAGTTTCAATGTAGGCGGAGGGGGGATTTAACGAAAAAAGTTTGAGAACCACTAGTTTAGAATACACATATTTTCCCACTTCTGTTCACTTGGCTGCATTGGATGAAACCTCATTTTATGTACAAATAGTCTTTGCCGAGATACTCTTGATAATTAATTTGGATTATATTTGCTTTATAGATCAACTATTGTTGGTGATAAATTTCAATTAAATAAGATATATTACTGAATTTTTGACGAAATATTTGAAATGACGAAATCGACGAGACGAAACGTTTTTTTATTATTTTGAAATTTACTCTATTCCTTCTATGTATTGCAATTTGATATCTTATTACGTATGAAATGCTCAGCATCACTTGAAAATGTGAATGCTCGAATAGAAATTAAAACGAAAAATTGTGTACATTTGTAAGGTAACAATGAATTGTAAATTCCAAGAATTTTCTGACTTTGTTTTCCAGTTAATTTGGTAAATTATATACTGCATTGTCGAGTTTTATTTAGGTTCCCCGATATTCTGAGATAATTCAAATTTACTTTAACTTCTTTATAACTTCGCAAATTGCCCTAAATCTATTGTAAAATATATTTTCTATTATAGTTTTTATTGCGAATATTAAATTTGTGAATTATTAAAAATGTGTGTAAGTTTCAAGATGTTGCAAAATTATTCAACTAGCGATTCAAAGCAAGTCTTACATAAATTTTATAGTTTTTATTTTTAATTTCATTACCTTATTTACAAGGGTATGTATTAATCAAAGTTGATGAAAAATTCAATTTTCACGCCAAATTGCTGGCAGCTGTATGTCATCTGAGAATTTGTCTCCAAATAAATAAACTTTGGAGTTATCGAATAATCGACGTTTTAATAAAGCAATATTATAACTTGCGATGACCGTCATATACTTTTATGAATTTCGAGAACGTCATGTATTTCAAAGCGAATGAATTGAATAAAAACTTACGTTGCAGAATTTCCCGCGTATCGTTTGCATTCTGATGTACAGGACCAAAATTTCCTGTAGGAAGCAATAGAGTGTCATACTACAATAGACTGTAATCCTATTTACCAGTATTAAATCAAAACTAGTTTCCAACACTGGCTGGATTTGAATTGATCAGCATTAAAATTACAAATACAAATTACACATCCCAATGGACAAGACGTTTTGAAAACAATATTTTTTGAGATTATTGAAGGAATTCTTAGGACTGCTGAACTCGAATCATTTGGAATGTCAGACTGCAACTACTGCGTTCACACAAAAATAGTTCGTATCTCGAGTTGGGTTGTATGAATAATGTCACTATATATGTTATCAACTATTTTTACTTACCGTGACATACAAATTTAGCCTGGACCCTGAATTTTTCAAACCCTGAAATATTTAACTTATGTTTTCATAAAATATTTGAATTTTGTTTATTTGCAATAAAAATTTATATTCATATCTAGAATAAAAAAATTTAAACATATATAGATATATCAATTGCACAGCATAAATACTGATATTATCTTGGAATTCTTCAACAGGGACTTTTAGTCATGAAAAGAAGATTGTTTCTATGCTGGTCGTCTGTGTTGTGATCGCAGCCAACATAGAAAAAGGTAATGAAATTTGCATATAGTATTGGTATGAAATCGAAAAAGTTCTGTCGCTCCTGGGCAGGGGGATATCCACCTGGCTAACACAGACAGTCCCCGAACTCCTAATAGAACTAAAATACGGAAAATCAGAATAGAATTATGACCTAACCCTAACCTGGTACACACACTACGTTTTCAATGAGTCAGATATTCTATAAAATATATGCCATCAATATTAGATAAATTAAAAGCGGAGTAGTTGGAACCTAGAAACTTTGGTTTGTGAAATAATTTTAAAATAATGTGATTTGTCCAAACCAGACTATAAAATGTTATTTCGATGTAGAATGATTTTTTTTTAAGCAAGCACTAAAAAGGATGTGATGACAATCCGAATAAATACACGTTTTCAGGTACTCCCGTATCGTATGTGGACCAGGTTAGGGTTAGGCCATAATGTTATTCCGATTTCCGTTATATTAGTTCTATTACGAGTTCTGGGACTGTTTGTGTTAGCCAAGTGAATATACCCCCAGCGCATAGGCTTTCGTCTCATTACACAACCTGATGTAAGGTAAGCAAACAAAATTGGTTACCTCCATGTTGGTACACATACTCCTGGCCTGTTTTTATATTTTATTGTCAAATAAATAAAGCCCGGAATTGTTTGCTCGATAATTAGCTAATTCGCATGATCTGGCCGAATAAACACACGTTGCAATCTATTTTTCAATATAAAAATTATCCTGACACCAAGACCAATCAAGTAAACACATTGTCCTTACCGTTTATTGCTGCAAATTTACGAATTTTTCAATATTTGACATTTTCTTTGAGTATGCTCATATGGAATGGAAGATTGATTGAGATATATCATGCAAAAGATATCTTAAATTTTACGAAGAATCTGTTACTTGCTGTTATACTGCCCCGGCCTAATTTATACCTGTGCAATTCTGACATTCATCTAAAAAAATAGACATTTAAACTAATTGTTTTTTTATTACAACATTGCCAGATATATTGATGACACACAAGAATGATTGGTGCAAAATAGAAATTTATTCATGATATTATTTTTTCAGGAGTTGGCTGTTCCGAAGATGAGTTCTCTTGCCTGGACGGAACTATATGCATTTCATGGTCTCGGTTTTGCGACGGATATCCTGATTGCAGGTAAGAATATAAATAGAACAAGAGAGTAACTATCAAATATATAGTTGCGAAAGTCAAATGGCTACTTCAGAAAGCGTAACTTTCGGATGGTATTCACTAAATTTCAACGTTGTCATCTCTAACAAACTCGTTTTACGGGTGAATAGTATATATGTTCATATAGCTAATAATCGTGACAAACTTGGAACCAGATAAGAGTAAGATTACGCACTGTAGCATATATCTGGTCCCGGCGACAAATATTAAATTACATTTTGTAAGTACATTTTTGCTTGCTAGAGAAATGCAATAAGTGAAATGTACAGCATTTTAGTCAAGAAATATCAATTTGAAATATTCATTCGAGACTTGGAAGTATCCGAAGTTATTTGATCCTGCGACAATCATATTCGTATCCATGTCTGTTTTTTTTCGTTTATATTTGTGTCTCTCAATATGCATTTTGATGCATTGGATGTAATCAGCAATAATTTAGCTTATATGAAGGTTTTTGGCAAGTGACAAATCGTGATAAAACTCGATTTTTTATAATACGCTCTGAATACTTTTCCTTCCATAAACAAGAGGTAGAGGAAGAAATGATTAAAAAGTGGAAAACTTAGAAAGACCGAATCCTACTCTGTGTTAGAGTGGTGTTGTAGCGATTGGATTCACTCGACATTTTTGAACAGCAGGAATGACGCCATAAAATAACTTTATCTAAGTTTCAAGCAAAATTTGTAGCATTTGAATACGCTAATTTTTATTTTATTTCCACAGAGATGGCAGTGATGAATTTGTTTACAGAGATCAAAACCAAAGAGGAGGCATCGAATGTGATGCAAATGATAAACGTGATAGTAATAAAAAATGTTTACTGCCATCTAAATATATTTGTGATGGAAGATCTCACTGTACTGATGGTATGTATTCTTTGTCACGATGTTTTAATATTTTTTTTATTTGTAACGAAATTATTCAGAACCCCTTTCATATTGTATCACTCGACCCCTTCTTACAGCTTGCGCGCCAATGTTGCAAACTTCGTTCACTCGAGCCTTTATATGTCAGAACCGACGCTCTGTCTTCGTTTGCCTATGTTTGAGCATTGCTCTCTTGTTCTATTCAAAAATGATATATTAAGGGTAAACAGAAATTGCGTAATGAACCAACGCAACTTCGTCTTTTCGGCATCAGTAAAGCGATTGAGACGGCAGAGAAACAACAATATGACGGGATTTCCCGCGATCCGGTAAAAATCAGCAATATGATGACGAAAAAGAAATTGCGTAATAAACAAACGCAACTTCGTCTTTTCGGCATCGGTAAAGCGAATGAGACGGCAGAGAAACAACAATATGACGGGATTTCCCGCGATCCGGTAAAAATCCTTTGCGGACCGTTGACGGTCCGCGGACCGGCGGTTGGGAACCACTGTTTTAGAATACTTAAATCGAATCCAGAATCCTATTCTATTTTTATAGTTACCCGTATTTAAATAGTGGGATTTCTCCACCACAATGCATGATTAAAATTTAAAAGAAAAAGCTAAATTGTAGCCTAAATGTTTAATGTATAACTATCTTTGTGCAGTATTTAATTGAAAATGTCCTGATCATTGGATTATATTTAACCAAGGCAACGAGATCGGTTTTTTGTTTTTACCAGTTCAATATTCTCAGTTTAACTACTATCAAATATCAAGTAGGAGCCAGTGTGTTTATTCTGTGCGAGAACCATTTTCAATTACAAAACCTTGATGTTCTGTTACCGGTTTTATCGTTTTATATCAGTCCGGACTTGTCCTTGCTCAATATGTTTTCCACAATGCCTCGCAATATTTCGGCCAAATATGATTAACTGTTTTTACCAAATGCGGCAACTTATTTTAATACTTGAATACCACCCACACTCGACCAAATTTGTGTCAATCTTGGCCGATAGGATCGTCGACTTGAGTTAGAAAAATAAGTTAATTTTTTCATGAGTGCAAAATAAATGTCACAATATGCATTTTCTGCGATACAACTTTGTATTTCCGGAAAAGGCATGTCATATAAGTACGGTATTTAAATTATGCGCGAATAATTAATATTTGATCTAAATTTGTCGCAAATAATGTTACAACATTTAGGCCGCAAAATGATTTAATGTAAAATGAAGCATGGTAATCGGAATAACGTCAATAAGTTGGCATCAATAATTATTATAAAATGCTGACTAGGTAGTAAAGTCGAATAATGTTAAAAACGGTGCAATAACAAGTCTTCGTCGCGAGGCAAGCGCAAGTATAATCAAACGAGAGAATACGCTCGTCGTGGCATTGATAAATTGGAAACCCGACATTTTTTTTAATACGATTTAAAAAAAAGTCAACTATCGTTTCATAAATATCCGTATACCAGTGTCGGTAATGATAAAATTGATCGCATAAAATTGGGACGGTTAATTTGCGAAGGTGATAAAGGAAATCAAAGCTAGCACAAAAGATAAAAATTATAATAAAATTAATTTGAATTCACTCTTGTCCTAATTAATATCTGGGGCCGGCGTGTAGTACTGCCAGGAAAATGAAAACCCAAACTCGAACCCAATCGAAAATGAAGTGAATTCAATTGGTTGTTATGATAGGTTTAAATGTGTGAAAAAATATCGCAATTACGGGGTCATTACGTAATCGATTTGGCCGTAATTACGGAATTGATTTTTGTCAATTACGTGCAAGCCTATAATAAGCAACGCTTGAGTTAATTTATTTATTTTGACTTTCATATCATGGGATAACAACGTTTGTTTTTTTTGTTGAAAAATTCATTTCAACTCTGACGTAATGACGTTCACGGTATGTAGCGTCACATTCTTTTGTGTAAGGCTTTGGTTGAGTTAATACTTTCAATGTCACGGAGCACGGACGTATATATATATATGTCATTTGAAGCTTACCGGTGCGTGTCACAAACATTACTATTCGTCTTTAAATATAAAGATGAAGTGGAGCGATAGAAAAAATTTCAAGTTCAGCTATTCCCAGGCCTTATTTTAAACAACAATTTAAAATAATGGATTTAAACGTTCGGCATGATATGTACGGGCATCGTAATGCTAGTACAATCAGCAGTTGTGTTATTTGCCGGAAGCTTTATATGATGGCAAATTGATGCTAACAGTAATGCGTAAATTCGCTTGTATATTGCTCGCATACTTCAATTAATAGCTTCACAATACTTGATACCTTTTATTCCGCAACATATGGTCTTCCTCTTAAATCAGCTGAACATATATTTATCGGTAGCCGGCACTTAGCATGCACCGTGCATAAAGTATTTACTAAAGGCTGATTGGGTACCGGTAGCGAAATGGCTAGCTTGTTAAGCGTATGACTTTAGGTAAAGTACGTTACATGCTTGCGAGCGAAAGCGACGTTTTTTTTTTGTAAGAAACGTAAAGCTACATGGCGATGTAGATGACACACAACAACACAAGTGCGTAACGTGGTTGTTTACGACAAGTTGAGGCAGCGAAAATGTGATGACGAGAAAATATTAAACGAATGCTTTCGAAATTTTCAATGTAATGGTATCATTGAAAGACTATCTTTAACCTCTACAAATGTTGTCCATAATGCACTATGTTAAATCGAAAACAAATGAAAATGTATTTGATTTAATTTACCAGATTTGCTAAAATATTCCATGTTTTCCAATTTTGCCAATGTCAGTAAGACAGTCGTAACTCGCAACAATTCATCCTAATTTTGGAATTACAGTATATTTAGTCATGGAGATTATCTTTGACACGATGTAAAACTTGTCCAAATATAACATTAGGCTTGTAAGATATGAAGTTCAAAAGTTTCACACGTCATACGAGACGCCGAACCCCGAAAAACCGACTTGTCATTATGTGGGTTGATGGAAAATGCAAATAATACCTAAATTTTACTACTTATTCATACAATGTTTTCTGAAGAAGTGAACGCTCTATGATGAGTACCTGAAAAGCAAATCAAAATTAAAAGTGTATACTTATTTGGAAGAGATCCTGTATATAACGTGCTTCCTAGCAACTTGTTTCATCGAATTAAAAATAGTTGAACGTCTTTTGGTTATTGGATTTTACTGTTAACATACACATCACTACTGACTGGCATTATTACTGTTTTATTTTATATTAAGGGGTGGACGAGTGTCTGTGCAATAACACCAGGGAAAGTGAGTCAATTTTCATAATAATCAATAATATATCAGCATATTTAAGCAAATAATTGTGACGTGAGTTATACACACTCCGGTCCAGTATTATCGCCCCAAGATTCGATTAGTGACCCAAGATTCGATTGGTGACAACAACAACTTGAATACATATAAATTATTTATTTAACTAAGTCAATTTTTAACTTCGAAGACATAACTCACTGGTTTAGAGGGAAATATATACAAACAAGTATTTCACTATATAATGAAGTACTGCAATTTTTTTATTTTCCTATATCGCTTTCAGAAAAAGAATTGTTAAACGAAAAATGTTTTCACTGTCTCAATCATCCGACCATCATAAAGTTCGGTAAAGTGTGCGATGGTATTTTCCATTGTCCCGATTTATCTGATGAATGCATATGTAGAAAACGAGGCCCACCACCTGAATTATGCAATTACGTAGACTGGGGTAAGGCTTTTCTTTGTAATATATATTTTTTTTCATAAGATTTTGCATCAAGACATAATCGTAAAGTTAATACATTGGAGCCTTAAATTTAACAATGGTAATGAATATATGAAAAGTCATATGACAAAAGTTTCCAATCACCAATCTGCGAAACAGTCTTTTAGAAGTCATTGTCGGGCGAGTTGTGACATTTTCAAATTTTGCGAAACCACAAATAGGAGTCTTATCGTTTTCACTGTTAATTTTTTGCGACACACGACAGTCAGGTAATCAAATATCGCTTTATGTGATTAGGCTAATACACATTTTTTTGTTTTTGTTTTATTAGTTTCAATATTTTGCTGCCGGTCCGCCATCATATATAATGAATGATACAGTTCGCCCAGAATATACATGTTGGAAACATCTTCGTTAATGCGTGTCGTTGATTATATGTTTGTTTTTTAATCCGGAACAAACGATTCCGCGGCTTCAACAATTGTAAGAACATAAGCCGTTCGATTTATATTATGTTAAATTTCTTTCCTATCAAATGTCGTTGACATATTCGAAGTATTTCACTCGTTCTTCCTTCCTCGATATAGTTTACGTTATCACGGTCAACATATAAGCGACTAAGCATATTGTTTGTTGGTTTATATAGATAGCCGTTTAAGCCGAGCAGTGATATTCTAGGAAACCCGCTTCCACAAAAATATAATTCCCGCTAACAAGCCCGATAATCAGAGTTTTTTGTTCAGGTCAAAACCAATCTCCATCGCCGCAATGGAAATGCAGCACAGGCGACAATTCGCATGAGTTTATTACTTCAACGAAAATTTGTAACGGAATGTGAGTTTGGGACAAATGCTTGAGCAAAAAATATCATATATCTTTTACTTCTGTTGAATGCTATATGTTTCAATCAAAACGAGATTATATTTTTCCCTATTTGTAGCCAAGTAGATGACAGTAGTGATTTCCTGACAGCAATAACAATTTTAGCCGCATTTGTAAAATAAACTTGCAGATATTTTAGCATTTCGGATACAGACCCATGGCCTTCATGGACTATAGACGGTCTATTTTTTTGGAGACACTTTGATTACTCTAAACATAGTTCCGTAATACGATTTCAACTTAATAGCATGGTGTCTAGATTCGACTTTTTGTATTTGAGTCGCGTAAAAGGCGAAGATGTGAACAACACTCAATAAAACAAAATACTAATTACAACTTTAACTCAAATACTTTTTAGCGTCGACTGCAAAGATTCGTCGGACGAAACAAATTGTGAAAACAATTGTTCAGGTAAAACACAATTTGAAAATTTGCCAAAGGTATTAGCAGAACCAGAAAATACTACTCTGATTTATCGCACCTAATAATATTAACCAATAATTTGACATCATTTCACGTCTAGTTTTTGGTGGGTCTATTTTTTCGGGAGAACTCGTATACCACTAAAAATCGTTTGATATAAAATGAAGGGACCTCCTGAAGCATGGTACGTCTAAAAAGAATGAAAGTTTTCGTAACCAGGTATTTCGGTAAATTGCTAGTGGATCACTCATCGGCACCAATGATTACCATTATATGCATTAGGAATAGATAGTAAAGCTGAAAAACGTAAAAATAATAAAGGAATAACGAGTCTTTGCATTTGGTTTAAATTAACGTTTTTCTTCTAAATATCCCGGCTAGGACCGTGTACCGAGATAACAGTGTTCGATGTCTACCGCGTTATCTCGAAGAACAAACGCGTGATAAAACCAAAGATTGTTGACGTGAGAGAAACTGATCGTCTCTAATTAAAAAATATTTATACAAAATATAAAAATTGCCGGATTTGCCCATCCCTTTTTTACACCAAACAAAATGTTCTTTCGTGCATTTTACCCATTGCTGTCAATTCACCTCTTCGGGTATTAGTTGAATTTTTCCGCATACAATTTGTGGGATCTACGTGAACCATTCCCTCACAAATGCAGGCAGTTTAATTTTTTTTTGTCATTTATTTTGGTCTCTGTTCATTGGGGTTTGAGTTTTATCTGTTTTTCAATGAATTTGCACATAAGACATGTTCATATAATTCGTTCATTTTATCCAACTTATTTAAGGGAATTTACTTTCGATGGTAAAATAGGGCAACGCTGAATACAAAATGAAAGCAACGGTGAATACAAAATGAAAGCAACGGTGAATACAAAATGAAAGCAACGCTGAATACAAAATCAGCAAATCAGGCAATTGTGAAATTTCAGACATGCCGATGATGCTTTTTTTATTTACCAATTTCTATACTTATAGTTTTTTCTCCAACAGCGAATAATCCGAAAACTCGTATTTCTAAACAATGCCTATATTAAAATTGTTTGGTTTTCAAAGGGTAATTTAGTGACCTTAAGTATTAGGTTTTTCTTAAAAAGATACTATAAACTATTTTTAGGTTCAATAATGGCTGATGGAGAATTGAAAACTTGCAAGGCAGATTATCAGTGTCTGGGTTCAGGTTGATATAATTCATTGATTTAAATTAGCTGAAAAATAGCAACAGCTCAAGTTCAAATTAATAATCACAACATATAGCAATCGCTGCTTATCTTATCAATTAAATCCTAGATCTGAAATGGGTAACATTTTCAAGTTTTTCATTGAGATGTATTTTACATATTAAAGAATAATAAAATCAGACTCCCAACACTCATTATCCCAACACATTATTCGTTTGCCAATCCTTCGTTTCGAAGGTTGCCTCACTCATACTTGGAACAGAGTTTTCATTTGTTATTGTTGTTTTCCGGTTTATTTGTCCAGTTTAATCAACCCTTTCTGTTAGAATTATTGAATACTGGTCATCTTTGACTGCAAGTTCAAAAACTACATTCTAATTTAAAACTGAGAGATAATCATTTCACTAACTGCCATTTTCGTACTTAGAAGTATTACGAGGAGTGAAGTGTGATGGAGTCATTGATTGTAAATACGCATTGAAAGAAGAATGTAGGGATTGTGCAAATAAACCAGCATTTTGCTCTCGACTTAGAAATTATGGGTAAGTGAAGTTTAATATTCCAGAATTTATAGATCAACCAACTGTGGAGGGTAAAACTACAAAATCCCCAATGCTTCTAAAGCGGGGGTGCAAATACCACACGAATATGTGGTGAGCATTGCACGCTAGTGGACTCGCGCAAAGTCGAAGGCACGATTATAAAATACCAAAATTTAAAATAACTTGAATTTTTGGACCTGCCGAGATCACTCCTCGGGAGAGTACGTCGAAAATGTTTCTGCTGTTATCATCAAGTGTGACGAAACAAAGCTTAACCTCTTGAACCCTGCTGGCCGGTTTACCGGCCAGCCCGAGTTTGCTCTCTCACCCTGCTGGCCGGTTTACCGGCCAGTTTATCGCGTGAAAATCAATCCACTTTATTCCCTCATATCTTAAGAACCACAATAGATATTTAAGTAAGTCTTATACTGTATGAAAGCTGGTCATTAGAACTATCTACACTTTAAATATTGCTGCTATATTTTCCAATTATCTGGGGATAATTAGCAAAAAAAGAGTGTATAAATTTATTTGATGAAAACAAAAATTAAATGTCAAAAATTGACTATTTTCTGCCTGAATAACCTAATATACAATCGACAACATATCTAGAGAATTTAAATAGCTTTTTAAAGACTTATCCAAAACGATTTTACGATAAGCCATTCAAATTTCATGGCCAAATATGTTTGATTTTCTGTAGATTTAACAGCGACGATGCGTCAAAATGACGTTCTCATTGAAGCGAGGCTACGTCTCGTCACGCACAACTTTACGTATGTTACGGAAATGCAACAAAGCGTGACGATGTCCGCAATAACGTTACGTCGAGATGTTATTATTTAAATGTCCGCAGAAAGTAATCAATTAACCCGATTTTACGCATTCAAAATGCGCACTACGCGTTGACTGCCCGCTCAAGCCCTTATTAAGTTGTGGTAATTTTTAAATTGAATATTGCACTTCGTTGTGCTCGGAACAATGAAGAACATGAAAATATTATGCAGATAAAAGACACATTCTAAATCCAATATTGCACTTTGTTGTGCCACTCATACCGATGGTTGTTGGTTTTGTTACCTATGCATAGGTACTCTTTACAGTATTTGCATTTATATACTGTCTTGCATCGTTTCGGCAAGTCTTTGTCTTTAGCAGCTGGATTGGCTTTTTTGGCAATACTGTGAATTTTGCTGCATACGACGTATCTATTATTAGAACTGTCGTTTCGCGGTTTATATATGTCGTGTCGTACGTTTAGTTGCAGTTTTTTATTAACTGTTAAATCTTCTTGTGGTTGCACAATCTTGCATTTTTTCGTCAACATCTTGCCTTTTCCAGCGGGATCTTCAAATAGTTGTTCTAGAAAATTGGGGATTGTGAATACTGAATACCCTTTTTGCTCTCATATTGTGAGGTTTGACAAAATTCATTAGGACGTAGGAATTGTACGTCGCCCACATGAAAAACTTCATGACTAAACGTCTTTGCCATTTATAATGCTTCCTGCACTTTTGTAAGTGTGTCAACTGGTCGTTTTTATCAGTACCTCTCATAAATGAATTATAATAAGCTTTCACTGCTGCTGGGCATGTTATTTCGTGTGTTTCGTCGGTGCTTCAATCCATACGGGGTTAATATCATATCGAAACTCGGCGACCGATGTCCCACTGAGAACGTCGTCGTGAAAGTTAGCTTGCGCATTTTGCCACGCAATACGTTTCGAACGTACGTAGTAACATCTTCATGACCTTAGTCACGTGATCGGCTTTTGCGTAGCTGCGTAATCAGTGCGTCATGGCCGCTTATCGAAGTTGTCCACCAGGCACACTGATACACAATTGGATATTTAAATATAAAATTGGTTATACGGCAGCCACAATAATAATTCCAATATCAACAAAAAGCTTATAAAGAACTCTTTATGAACATCAATTATTGGCAGTATATTTTGTACCAAAATAACAAAATTTGGAGCCATAACTCACTTACATGCAAAAAAGTCACTGTTAGATTAGAGTCAATTTTATTAATTTTGACAAAATATATTTCGAAATGGAGAATACATTCTGAATGCACGATAAAATTTCCTTTCGATTGAAATGTCACACAACGTGCTACCTATAATTGGTAAAAAGTTATAAACGTGCCAAATAGCCAGTATTTAGACCTATTTTATTGTTCTACAAATACGGCGCCGCGAATCTTCAGGGTGAGCGAGTAACTTCGCTCAGAGCCGTCAGAGTTCAAAGAGTTAATAGCCACCCGAATATGTTATAACTCGTTATAGTTGGACTTAGCCTCTTTCATGCATTTATAGTTAATATAACAGAGTGTTGTGTAATGCAAAGGTAGATGGAAGCGGTCAAATTCCGTGGTCCAAAACTATTTTATCCGCTATGAGAAAAAGCGTGTAATCAGCGGGAGCGGAGAAGCATTTTATTTCTCCGTAAACGAGTTCAACTCTGTCGCTGGAAAGCAGATATGTTATATTTTTTCGGTTTCTTCCAACTCAGTAATAAAAAACTGTTAATAATTAACCGCTTAATCATGTTGTTTCAAGCGTGTCACGTGATTTTATTCAGAGATTTTCGCTCTCAGTAATGCGAAATTTTTAGCTCATTGACCGCAAGGACGCCACCGCACGTCGTCGCGAAATGCGCTTACCGTGCACTTTTTTGATTCCAACGTATGCCACTGTTGGACTAATTTTAACTACGCCCCTGCCTTGCGAGACCTGTTGTATATAAGACCAGCGACAGATATTTGTAGCGTTGATTCATCATTTATAGATGCTGATAAGTTCATTGGGCTCGTGGATATGATTTTTTTTTGGCAAAAACATTTTTTCAGTAAATCTTCTGGTATCCCTGATTCAAGATCAGGAGCAAACTGTTAGCCCCCAAATGTGGCCCTATGCTCATTTATATGATCTTGCTGAAATACGATATGGTCTTTTGACATGAGTTTTTACAGATACTAATAATCAAAATCATTCATTATTAGATCGGCATCGAACGTCTCAAAATAGTCACTACCAGGTACTATCGTTCAAACTTTGTTTCAGGTTTGATTCCGAAAGTGAAAAATAAAGTTCAAAAACTTTGGTTGTTATGGCTAAAATTGTATAAAATCTGATATTTTGACCTGTAGAGCAAGCTACCATTTATTTCTTGTTGATATTCAAACAACTATTGGTGAACAAACAAAACATCTCCTAAAAAAAAATTTAATGTCTTCAATCTTATTGACGAAGGCACTTTATTAGATCAATATATCTCTCATTCATCAAGGAATGTCTTTTTATATAGATATACATAGCTGAGCAAAAAAATGATCAATATGAAACATATCTGTACAAATCTTCCTGCAAAAGGATTTTACCTTGTTGTACTTCTGTTCGATTACGAATTATTGTAGAATATTTGTTGGCAGGGACAGGTATGAATGTAATGACGAAATACGGATCGATTCCAATAAAATTTGCAATGGAGTTAAAGATTGCTCTGATGGGGAAGATGAACAAAATTGTCCAAATAGGTATGCTACTTGTTATGTTGCGTTTTCAGACAGATGAAATATTTTGGCAATAAAAGTTCGAATATTTTACAATCAGCCATTTTGCATTTGCTTTCTTTGTTAAAATAAAAGCTCAAAAGAGCTGCATAAATACAACAGCCTATGTATAGAAATAAAGAAACTTTGGATCTCCAGAAGTATGTACAACAAGATGGCGCACAACCTGAACATAGTATGTGTGTATCGGTTAGGATTCAGGTTGTGCGACATCTTGGTGCGCATACTCCTGGAGCACCGAATCTTTACTACAAATTGAATCACCAAAGATCCCAGAAATTAAACAGATTTCTTGTATTGATATGTTTAATTACATATTTTATTCATTAATATATATTATTTGCAGGTTTCACTGCAATTCAGGATTTCCATTGCATGTATTCAATAGGACGGTGTGCAACAAACAAAAGGTAAAAATTTATTTAAAATTGAAATATTTGAATATCACAATGAATTCAATTGGCATTATCGTGAATTTAATCTACAGCATTTATTTGGCCTTGAACTATGAGTTGCAAAGTTTGGATATACGAGTAGTTGAAATATAAATATATCATATACTCTGAGAAATTGGTATCGTATTATTCCTTAAATATTACAATGTTCATAAATCTATGTTTTTGATTAGTTTATCGATCCGGATGAAATTTTTGTGTGAGGTTTTGCATTTTTCGGTCTATAGAAAATTTTACAACTAGAAAACAACGGTACTTTGATAATAAATTATCTAAACAAAATTAGACTAATCCGCTGCTCATTTGGGGGGAGGGGTCATGAACTTGAATTCTCAAACCCCTTTATTTCATTAAATAAGCTAATGCATAATTTCCATGCATAATAACAGGATTGCGAAGATTTAAGCGATGAGATGCATTGTAGTAATGAAACACATTTTTACTGCAATGATGGAGGAGAACCAAAATTCATTGCAAAAAAACAGGTTTGTCATATAATTCGAGTTTATTTGATAGTTTTCTGAAAGCTCTTTCTTCTGACGCTATGAAAATTTTTGATACTGCAAGATTTCCATTGCTTATTTGATAAGAGTTTTTTTTTTTGGTAACCTCTGCAAACATCTTTTAAATTAGGATTTCAAATTTATTTCTAAAATTTACAATAATTCATTTATTATCCAAGTAAGTGTGTACTGTTAAGTATGCCTAGATTTAAAGGTTTGTTTATAATTGAATAAATCCATATTTCTTGTTGGTATGAGCAGGTTTGCGATGGAAGCGAAGACTGCACAAGCAGTCTTGATGAATGTCTTGACAGATGTATTTCTAGTGCATTCTCCAATGTTAATTTAATGATCAGTAACGAACACTTTGTTTCATTTACATGGATGATCAGTGAGTTATTAATATTCTGAGGTTAATGCATTACTAGAAATTTCTTGCATTTTCCTGATATTCGAATATTGTGAGAGTCTGAATTTCTCATCGAAAATTTCAATTTGGATTTTTTAGACATAGATTTCATGATGCAGTGTGTTAACTGATTTAATTCTACACGTTATAAAATAAGATGGACATACGTAGCTTGTAATTCCTTGTTCGTATGTGACTATACCTCTTCTATGAAATAATGATGAATACTATTGCCGAATTTCAACTCAGCTTCTCATATTATTATTGTTACTTTGAAAACAATTACATGAATTTCTAGAGAGTGAAAATTATATTGTACTTTTTTAGTAATTTTATCTTTTTTGTGTTCATAATCACCTCTTATACTAAATCATTCAAAGTTTTAATGTTTGTAAAAGCTTTTTCCTTGGCAAAATTATCTTGAACTGCTTGGGTTGTGGTTATATCTCACATATGTTATTTTTTTATGAAGGTTTGTTTGCTGTTATTGGAAATTTATTCGTGTCAAGTAGATCGATTCGAAACATCTTCTTTTCTAAACAACAACTTTTAAAACATGAATTAATCATTAAATATTTGATATTTAACTTATCACTCTCGGACTTACTTGTAGGGGTAAGTGTACAATATGTATAATTATCCTTTACCAACAGTTACTCGAACTTTTCTGATTTGAATCTATACTCCCGAAGTATGTGAAGTATGGACACCGGAACGTGGTATGTGTACCAGGTTATGGTTAGGCCATAATTTCAGGTACAAATACTACGGGAGTCACTTGGCTGGTCTCCGAACTCGTAATAGAACTAAAAGAAGAAAACATGGAATAAAATTATGGCCTAATCTTACCTGGTACACATACTACGTTCCTGTGTCCGCCATCTTGGTTCACATATTTTGGGAGTACATTTGAAACTATATGCATAATATTTCTGATGAATATGACTATAAATGGAATGTTTCTTTTTCATTTCAGCACCAAATACTACTTCCTAATTTTTAAGAAATCCTGGTAAACTTATTTATCATAAGTGTAAATAATATTGTTTAAAGAACAATTCGAGATTTCTTGTAAATAGTTGATCTGGATTTAAGATCATAACACTTACTGAATTATAAAAAAGTGAGATGAAAAATCATACTATTTTACAGTTATACACATTGGCCATTTGTATAAAGAATGCAACAATAACAAAGGATTATTGTAAAACGGATAGGCAGTGGCGAAGTGGATTCACATGTTCCGCTCTTGGAACTTTGCTTTTGATTGGATCAGAAAATTCAGTAATTACTCTAACCATTATTACAGGATTTCGAATGAAAACTGTATTGAGGTAAATTTGTTTCTATGTTTTTTCTATCAACCATGATATTTTTGAAACATTTTCATCGTCGATTTGCCTATATTATCAACATAAATATTGTATATCGTATCAACATCTTATTGAATTGATTAGAAAACAATATAGTGCGTTTTATTCGAGCAATAAAAATTCTTGAGTTTTGTCTTTGCAGGCCTTTCGCAAAGGAAACATCAATGAAAATGATCGCATGTCTGTTGACACTTTCATGGGTAGTTTCCATTGTGTTGGGACTTATCCCATTCTTCAATCAGGACTTTTTCATCGACAGCATTTGGTGAGGAAAGTAGAATTGTTGTTTTTAGACACAAAAAACAACTGAATTATTACGGTTTGCTCTTATGATAAAGCAACTTTTGTACATGTAAGAAGATCCTACCCTTCGTGTACAAGAGATATAATACTCTTGTATTGTTAACAACGACATTCTCGTTTAAAACTGGTAAAGTGGCCATATAATTGATCATAACTTATTTAGAACTGACTTAAAGTTTATGATGACCTCTGATCTTTTTGAACTAATATTTCATATTTAGAATAAGCTTGCATAGTACAAATCAGACATGTTGACTGTTTGAAATATTTTAGGTACGACAGACATCCATTGTATTCAACTATTAATAAAAAGGATGTTGTAAATCTGTCTCGTTCACTTCTAACGAAACAGAGATTCGAAGATGATCCTGCTATAGAAGAGTAAGTACGAACTGCTAAGATATACTCAGAACTTTTCCCAATATTGTTACAAAAAACACTGCCGAAGATGAATATTATTTAAAGAAAATGATTTTCAAATTAATTTTTATTAGAATCAAGTTTCTTGGGCAAATATTATCTACGAATTTTCACTTTTTCTCTTTGAACAAAGCTTTCTTCAAAGATTAAAAATTCGGGATACTGCATTCGAAAACAAAAGGTCAATTTCTCACTCGATAAAATGATTGGCTTATACCATCCTTTAGATTGATCGACCAGCAGTTGAAACATGTGCTGTAACAATATCGTATGTGTAAAAAATCATTTTTTCATCTTTAGAAAACTTGGAACATGGTCGTTGCTAGAATCTCTAATCAGCGATTTAAATTCGACGTACAAGGTCGAACGTAGGTTTGGATATTACTCCACACACGGAGTTTGCCTTCCCACTTTGTTCCCGAACCCTAATACTGATACTGCTTGGTTGTATTCGCTGTTCATCCTTCTCGTAAACTTCCTGGCATTCATCTTCATTTTTATCGGCTACGTCAAGATATACAGGTATTCTTCGAATCAAGTATCTCTTTAAACCACAGATAAAAAAGTCAATTTTTTTTCAGATTTAGGTTATGAAATAATGTATAAAATATATATTCCACATAAACGTTTATTCGGAAACGTTTATTAGGAATTTTATAATCTTCTACCGCAGGGGTCTCAAACTCAATTTACCTGGGGGCCGCCGAGAGGGAGTCTTAGTGAGTCCGGGCCGCATCCGGTTTTTCACAATCTTTTTCTCTGTTTTTCTATACGAAAAACCCGACGTAACAATAGACTTTTTTGCAAACGCTCAGACACTCAGAAAGATTTTCAGGCATGTTTGTAAACATCACCCCGTTTTTGCATGCTATTTGTTAGTTTTGGGTTCTGTTTCAGAAATTCAAGTATGAATCAAAGAACTCAATGATCATTCTGATTGCTTGGGCGTCGTAGCTTAATTGCCGTAATCAAAAATTAGTCTAGAAATAGCTGTGATAGACTAGGCTAAACTTCTCTACAGGTACTGACGAAAAACAGGTTGTTGAATGTTTTGAATCAAAATGATGACGTGAAACATATACCCCAGTTTATAGCCTTTAACTCGCGAAGCCACCTCTAAAATTTTCTTCGGGGTCAAAGGTCCATCGAATATCATGCCTACAGGTACGGTACTAGTAGGTTACCGTACCTCATATTCCTTTCGGGGGATAGATTATAAAATATTTTGTTTTGCTCTACTTGTCCTGATACTGAATGCTTCAATCATTCTAACTGAGCTGAGTGACTTACGGGCCGCACTAACATTAAACTTTCATACCAAGGCGGGGGCCGCAAACTATCGTCCTGCGGGCCGCAATTGGCCCGCGGGCCGCGAGTTTGAGACCCCTGTTCTACGGTAATATTGCTGAGTGAAGTGTGATAGACTCTCTGTTGCTCCAAATTGTTAAATGAAGAAATGTGAATTGATTGAAAAATGACGACGAGAAGAATACAAGAAGGAATAGAAGAAATATAGATAGAAGAAATCCATCATTGGAATAAGAAATTGGGAAATATTTTTTGTTTAGCAACACCTGACCATATAAATAAAGAATAGACACATCACATTTATTGGTAACACTACTATGAACTTAGTGTACGTTTGCAGGTGCTTTTTGTGACACGCTAAACAAATTGTTTACAGTGAGATGAATGAATCGACTTGATTTATTAATTTTTTTAAATAATCAATACTTAAAAATATTTCAGGAAAACTCGAGAAAAGAATGCTGCAGTCAGCGACAAACTAAGGGCAGAACTGGCAAGAAAGATGCAAACAAAAATTACCCGGATTATTATCACTGATTTTCTCTGCTGGATGCCTGTCTGCATAATGGGCTTTTTACAAGTTTCTGGTGAGACGGCCTTTTACAACTTCATGTAAAAACACCATCTTCATGAATTTTATTTTAAATGAATATTGAATGAATTTTAATTTTATGTTGATCATTTAATTAATCTGTTACATTTAGAATATCTTTCTTTTTATACAGGCATCAACATACCATATGATGCATACGTCCCTGTAGGATTGATTATTATTCCGATCAACAGCGCCCTCAATCCTTTCTTATATTCTGATGTCCCTGATTACGTTTGGAAGAAACTGAGCCCCATCAGATCATGGATTTACAAAAATATCATGGGACGATGTGTTCGTAATAACTTTGGTAACCTTAATTCAATGATTCGAATCAATTTGGTGATAATTATGAGGAGAGGAATGCTGAAATCTGCGCCATCGTAGGGTGGTTTACGCATCCGCTGGTCAGTTACGTCTTTCTCCACCATCAAGTCCATGCATCTGGAAAGAAATAACTTGCTAAATAATCCCATTTCCTATACGGACTGGTAACCAAACTAGATTATGATAGAGCCATTTTATCGAACTTTTCTTCCTAGGGATAAAAATCTCATTCCTATTCTATAAGTGAACACGACATCGACATTTAGTCTACGGATCCTGCACAACAACGTCAAATTATTCATTATTGCCGCATGCAGTTATAGCTAAACGGTTTATTTGCCATTTATGTATTTTCCGGTGATATTGCTAAACAAAGTGTGATAAGCTTTAAAGTGTCAAATGGAAGAATGTGAATGAATTCGGAAATTCACTCAATTTTTTCTTTTCAAAGATGAGAAGAAACCAAGTAGGAATAGAAGAAATGTTCAGAGTGGTTCCAAGTCGACAGAGGTATAGTTCAACAACTCAATTACAAAGAGTCGAAGGTATTGTCGTTAACGACCCATTCATATTTTATCCAATATTTTTTTCTATGTACCGTATTTCCTGGTGAATAAGTATATCCGGCGAATAAGACGATGCCCGTTTTTAAGCCGAAAAAAACGGGGTTTTGCATATAACCTGCCAATAGGACGGGCAGTAAAATCGCATCAACATCGAAATCTTAAATCACCATGCAATGTCTTTTGAGCGTTTGCGCATTGGTTATAATAGCCTATAATGACTATTTCTTGTAGCGTAATATTAAATCCATAACAACTACGAGAATTCAAACTGTATTTCAATTTCAATCTAATTGTGTTCAACTTGCGGTTGCGTCTGCCATACAGGAACATTACCGATTTAAAATAACACGGCAATCTGCGGACATAATAATGTGAGATAAACTACCTGATTATATTTAGTTTTTATGAATAAATATACATATAAACAGCTAATATGAAACATACATATTCATCACCTCTAAATCTCCACAAAACGAAAAGTGTTGCTTCATTGACTTAATTGGGATTATATGTTGTTTTTGATGGTTTTACGGTAGGAGAAAACCTTGAGTCAGCGATAATATCCCACCGAGTAAATTTATGTCAATAAAATGAATTAAATATACTTTACATTACCGTAATTACGGTATTATACACATAGCATAGTCGCGTCTGGGCCTGTCGGTAATTGTAGAACAAAAAATGTTTTTGTGATTTGCAAGGCCTAAATATAATCTTGAATTTGTCACGGGCCATCTTGACATAAAACTTAAATGATGTTTCTTTTTATTTTTAGTATTTTATAATGCCGCTTTTAAATCAAGAACATTTGGGTCATGTATTCACTCCTTTGTTTATCTTAGCGTCTTGTCACACATGATTATGTGATATCTCGTATCTCACAACACAAGTGCCATCGTTGCTTGAGAGCAATAAAGTAATTATCGTTGTGTTCGCTGCAAATTTCTGACTTGGTAAGAATAAATGCTGAAATGAAAGATGTTTATGGCTCAAATAAGACATCACGATGACAAAGACAATTGAAGATTTTCACTATTGCAATCCCACGTGTATCGGTAATAGCCACACAAATGCGACAACTTCAAATATGATAATCACAGCATTAAAATTCCAGATTCACAGCACGAGAATCTCCTTATTTAACTCCCCCCTCAAAAAAAAAAAAATTAGGCAGAAAATTTGGGTCTAGAAAAGCGACTTATTCGCCGGAAAATACGGTATTTCAAAACAATATTCTCCAATTCACTATGCAATGTTTGGATAAGACCACATCGACATGAAATCAAAACCGCTACAAAATGTTATCCCATTGTTTAACTAAAGCTACCCCAAAACCACGCAATTAGTTAATTTATTTCATTTTTTTAATTTCAGAAATTCAAACCTCAACCCAACGCGAAACCACAGTTTAAAAGGATTGACAACAAACTTACGTTCTTTCCGTCAGATAACGGAAACACAGAAGAAACTTTTAAATAACCCGACATTCAAAACATGTTTTGATTTACATTTTTATTTTATGTCATAAATTATAGATTTTAATTTTTTTCTGGTTTTTGCCTTAAACTTTGTCCCTGATTCCAACTTTAAGTTGGAGCATATATGAAAAATTATATTATTCTATAGATTAAATCAAATGTACTAGATAGAGGGAGTCGGAAGATTTCGTTGCATGGGAAAAAGAATTCAGAAAACAGAAAGGAATTTAAAATAAAGTTTGGTAACCGAGTATCGTCAATGTTTAAAGCATCAATTCGATTAGTTTCTAATCGGATGTATGAAATATAATAAATTGTACTAATTCGAAAGAATCCAAATTAAATTGATGTCAGGTTAATTGAAATAGCATAGTCCATGAATTTCTGAATTTGACATAGTTGCTGAATATTATTGTGCAAATCATGGTAATATCACTGTAAAAACATGACTTTATTAAAGCTACTTGCTCAACAATTTAGAGAATTCTTACGCACTTTCATACTTGCTCAAACAAAAATTTGCTTTTTTAAATACTTCAAAATATTTTCTCACCTTTTCACAATATAATTACTTTAAGTGGTAATTGGATATAAAATTTGATGGCAATGTTCACACCGTAATTGACTGGTTCACCTCACCTAGCATATCTCATCATTTTTATGGCAAAATTTGAAAAAAATGAAATAAAAATTTTGTAGACGTGTGTATCTATATCCCTGTGTGTTATAACAAAAAAACAATAAAAATGTTTTAGATGTGTGTTTATATTTCTTTTTCTGTTTTATGAATTTTATTTTAAGTTGATAAGTTTGCCACAAAAATTTTTCGGTCATAATATAAATTCCTTAACTATATATTATCGACTTGTATAAGTCTATACTTGAAAATGCAGTTATAAACTTAAAATAGTCTTTTTCAAAAGACTATGAATTCCCTTCAAAAATTCGAAATTGTTTAACTGACCGAACGCTGGAAGCTTTTTTTTACAATGCTAATAATTTACGAGTTAGATTATATCCATGTGAAAAATTGAGAACAACACCAGCCGTATGTGCTACCATATTTATATAGATAAAACTACTTCCCGAGTCACTCAAAATAAAAAAATAAGTCAGAATATGCAATATGATGTAAGAATGTGAAACCGTTTCAATTTACAGCGGTTTTGAATGCTAGATTCTTTTAATAATAAAGCATACTTATGATTTGACAAATCATGCCTTAAAATAAAAAATCAAATGATTCCTACATGTCTTATCTGTTAGTTTATTGTCGAATATTTCATGAGCGAGTACATAAAAGATTGTTTTTTTAGATACCCATTTAGTTGTTTATACATTATTGGACACGTAGTGGACATAACGATCGTTTCAAAATTTTGTTGTTATTGGTATTAATATTTGTCTCCATCAACGCGTTTTGAAGAAATCGCTTTTCTTTTCGAATACTGGACCAATTTCTTTGAAATTTTCAGTGGTTAAAGATAAAAATTTTCTCCAGAAGGCTATTACTTTTTTTTTTCGCTATGACGTCATCAAAATTATGTGACTCTACGTGTTCATATATTTGAGCATAGCTCTCTTGTTTATTGTTATTATCTCAACTTTAAAAAATCTATATATCTATGTGTATACTTTTAATAATAATGATCGATATTAATGTTTCAATAAGTTCCTATTGTGATTCATACATCTCAGATTTAGATTCTTCTTATAATTCAGCTCATCGATTAATTAATATTCCTCAAAAGACTTAATTATGAAATGTCTTTTCTTTTAAAACAACAATTTTCGGCTACGATTATGACATGGTCTAACCATGTACTATAGTTTATTGCGTTATCGATAGTTTTGTATATATCTTATAGTGTTGGTCATTTCATTGAGAATGATTATTTTCCATTTAAATTTAACCTTGTACTGGTTTTATCTTGGGTAATCGTTTTTGATGTTTTATTTGCTTCTTCATTTTGTAAATTTTTTTCAGTAATGGTTATTCTAAAATTGGTTATTGATCTTATGACATGCGTTGTTTGCTTCGCACAAGCTAGCTGATGGAGAATTTTAAGTTCATTGGCATAGAATATAGATAATAAATTGAACTCAGTATGAGTTTTGTGAAGGGATTGAATTACTCGCATGTACCAGATCAATCTATATTAAAAACTCGTTTCGCGGGCCGCACGACATCCAAAATTGGGACTTCATTGCGGGCCGCAAAATTATTTTTTGTGGGCCGCATTTGACCGGCGGGTCGCTGGTTGCACACCCCTGATCTAAAGCATAAAATAATTTGATCTCTCTGAACTAAAATGTCCTAGGTTTTTACCATCATATTGAACCATGCTCGATTCTTAATGCTACTAGCACACTTTTGTAGGTATTTGCTCTGAGAAAAAATTCTTTTTTTGGCAAGTTAACCCGTTCGATTTTTTTTTAAAATCTCAGATTTGTAATCAGGGTAAAAAATATGGTGACCAATGCTAACATTGATAAAGAAGTTGACTGTCAAATATATTTGTATTAGACAATCAATAATATGTCAAAATCATTTGTTTTATCGTATTTTAACAAGGGACGGAATTAGATTGGTGAATATTATAAATACTCTGTGGAAGTTTTTCTATTCCATCTCGTAATTTATAAGTTAGCTTACTATGTCATTTTGAATAGATTTCTTTGCGAAAGAAATATGAATTTTTTTCGACTATGATTCCTGGTAACTGTTAGTGTATGGCAGGCCTGCCGAATATTTTTCATCTCGTGGGCCACTTTCACATGACGAAATTTGTTACAGAGCCGCAAACGTTTGTACCAAACTTAAATACCAGCCAATTCGTGATTTCGTTAGAATTTACATAATATATGATATAGGCAAGATTATTGACCTAAAATCAATCAAGTTAATAATTATTTACTGGTTACTGATTAGTGCCGGAGAAATAATCGAATAGGAAGTCGAATATTAGAATAGCAGTTTACTATTCGAATATCTGATAACACAGGGCGTGGACATGACACTCGCGGGTCGCTGATTTAAAAAATCGATCATTACACAACGCACTTGTGGATTTCTGACGACCACACGAGAATCTGCACAGAGTTTTCAAACAAAGACGTATTTTCAGTGGCTATGGCATTGTCTCAAGGAGCATAATGTGCAGCAATGTCGCGGAAACTTCAAGTTTTAGTGGGACGTTTCGTAAAATTTGAAACATCAATACAAGTATTTAGTGAAAAAAAAACATTACAATACTTTCTGGATGAATATATATATATATATATACATATATATACTAATTTGAATATTTAGAATTACCATTAAGTTTATTTTATCAGAATTATTGACAGATACGCAGTGACGATATTCCCGACATTTTATTTAACGCAAACATAACATAAACAAAAATACAAACATAAAACAACGAGTTCCGGAGTCATCAGCAAAGATATTGCTCACTATTTATTTTACTTTGACGATAAAGAAAATCAAAGCCTACCTAAAAGAAAGCTTTCAGAATGAAACTAATTTGGAAATTTAGGTTCCAAATTCCTTCCTATAATTGCGCTCAGCGTTCGTCGCCAATGATTGCACAATATCTTTGTAATTCGTCGAACATAACGCACAGTACTGCGAAAAAAAAAAAAAAACTTAACGTCGATGTCCATCAGGGAGCAAGACTTGATGCATACGTAGAAATAAGAATCGGCATCCGGATGTAGATATAGATGGCGAAAATAATCACACCATTCACGGAACATTATTGAGCCTATATAAAACATAGTGAAAATTTGAAAAGACTGCTTGCAAAATTTATTGGGCGGGCCCAAAAATCAGTCAGGCGGGCCGCATGCGTCCCGTTGGGCACCCTTGGCGTATGGCATGAATTACATGCATTTATCTCTTTTGAGTTGAAGTTGGTTCAGGACTTTCAGTTCTTTTCACAAACAACGTTACAAAGTCCGTTTTTTTCTACGTCAAGTGTAATATATCGAATTAATTTTTTCTTCCTTTCGTGTTTTCGATTCAATAACTCGGGACCATGTTACAGTTTTCTTACCGACCCCATTCAAACTGAGACATAATGAGGGTCTTCCAACCATAATGCCCTGGTTATGTATGAATACTGTACCATAATTTGCTAACCGTGAATGTTGAAGGCGTCGTGTAAATGATATTCTAAAGCAGGGTGGTCCAAACCCAGGCCCGCGGGCCACTTGTGGCCCGCAGCTTCATTTCTGTGGCCCGCGTCGCATTCGCAGAGTAATCATTTTTGTGTTGTTTCGTCATGAAATTAACCAGAAAAATCCTATGACATCTTGTTACAGCAATAATGTCACTGAAATTGACTAGTGTTATGGCTAGCTGAGGCAACTGACAAAGTTGAATGATGGGCTTGGCAGTCTAAATTGTTATCTGGCTTTATATCGTTTCGGTCAGGAATATATGCCAACAATCTTGGCATCATAGAAAACTTAAAATCGAATGCGGATTCTATTAGCCTAGGTTGGCGCTATGCCTGATAACTAAATATTAATGTTATGGCCTAACAATATTAGGCCATAACATTAGGCCATATCACAACTCATGCCTGGTGTTTTTTTTTCAACCAGCCTAAATAGTATTACAAAAAATATTGCCTATATATCAGAAAGTTTATTAATTACCATTCTGTACCTCACATTGTGTAATCAATCAATCTGTAGTTATATATAAGTTATTTTGTAAACATGAGTTTGAGAATGAAAATTGACGAATTCAAACAAATTTTTAACTGGATGTGGGAGGAAAAATACCACAATTCTTTCTTGATATGTCTGCAAGTTGTGTCGGTGAAAAAAACAATTGAATTTTAAACGGCATTTAAGAATCTTGTGAGCAATGAGGATTTTCCAAAGTTAAGATTTTGCATTGAAAATCTATCGATGTTCGAAAGCACGTACATTTGCGAAAGCATTTTTTTCCGTAATGAAGA